TTCTGATCAGCTTCAATAGATGAGGAACATCAGCGGGCACGTATATCCTTTCTCCATCCTTGGCTGGATTCTGTAATTACATTTACAAATATGCAAGTACACATGTAAATAAAAATAAACACCTACTAATTTAAATCCTCAATTCTCGCCAAGGACCCTGATTTGAGAAGCCCATATCCGAAACGATTGCGACAACGGTGAAATTGATGTCGTGCAGTTTCAAAATTATTTCACTAAGAATCTTTTCAGTTACTTGCGTGTTGAAGGCATAAAATATTGGTTGCTTCCATCGCCAATTCAATGCACGAGCCATAATTACTTGAACGTAGTTACACGGCCCCTTCACGGCCTGACTAAACGGATCGAGTTCGAAACAGCTCCAGACTTTCATTTCATCGAAGGATAAAACACATATTTTATCTTCAAAGTCAAGTGCAGAATTTGTCATCAATAGAATGATGCGTTGAAGACAACCTTCATGCAGTGGTACTATTCGAACCCAGTTGTTGTTGTCTTTTCAAAAGGTGTCTATATGCTCTAGGGCCTGCAGCGTTTATGGTTAGGGCTGAGCTTACATCCTCACTATCTTCTTCTATTTACCGCAATGGGACTTTGTTTTTCTTAAGTAGTTCTGAGTTTTCATTCGGACTAAAAGCATATTACTAAAATAGTAGGTCATATTTATATAAACCTATCTTACTCTGTTTGAGTTTGAGCTTCGGTTTTTAGTTCCTGGGCTGAATGCATATTTTGAATGTGGGAAATAAATTTTACCCACGACCAAAGCAAAAACGTTTCTCGGCAAAATCCACACCGCAACGAAAATATTTGCCTGTCGCTTGAAACTTGAACATATCAGCAGCTTGCATCTTGAGCCCTTATTATGTAAACATATACATATGTATCTAAGTATAACACTAAATTTTTCTTAGAGCTGCATAAAGGCTCTAAAATTGTACAGGTTTAAATAACAACTTGCGTTCCCATTAGGCGTCCCATTTTAAAATGTGTGTATCTAATCGAAACAAGTGAAAAAGCATAATCTTGGTTGGAACAATTGATTGATAAGGTCTTTTCCAAAGTTAAACCCCCATTATTCCACTTACTGATTCTCAAAGCTTTGCTCAGCATCGCGTGTGGCTTGTGTGTTGGAAGTGCATCAGGACATAGACGTTTACGCTTCACGCCTGAAGCAGAAAAATCAGCCGATTTAAACTGTTTTTCACAGATGTGTGCTGTGGGTGGCAATGATGTTCCACACGCGATTTCCCACTGCTTTTTTTTTTTTTGAAAATTCATCTCGCGGGACACTAAATCCGAGTCAGCGCATCTAGCACTTTTACACAAAAACCACGAATTGCGTGGCATTTGGGTTTTCAATTAATTTTATTTTATGAAAATTGAAAATATTTTTCACAAGAAAATATTAAAAATGAATTTTATTTGGGTTTTTTTGTGGGTTAACGCAAATGACACCTGTGAACAACCCTGCCAGCCATGGCTCACCACTTTTCCCTAAAATTCAAACGATTTACAAACACATTCACAACTTTTTAGTCATCTCACCCACACACTTACAAATTTTTTCGTCGAACTGTCAAAAAATTTGCCTTTATTAGAGCTACATACCCGATAAGAATTCGTACTCTAACAAGAATTCTATGCGTCACTGCGAGCAAGTTAGAAACATCAGAAATATTTATACTGGTTCACAAAAATTCAGTTTCATTACAACTTTGCAAAATTTGATTGCGTTTTTCCGACTTATATATAGAAGGTTTCAAAAGTTGCAAAATTTCTATAAAAAAGTTAAGCGATTTTAACAATATTATAATCAAAAGAAAGGTAATCGGTTTACCTTTCTTTTGATATATATTAACAGTTACAAATCATTTACACTAGTTCACAAAAAATCTGTTTTTTACAACTTTGCAAAATTTTACCACTTTTCCACTGCTTATATATAGGTGTTTACAAAAGTTGCAAAGCTTTTATGAAAACGTAAAGCAATTTTAACGGTGTTATAATCAAAAGAAAGGTAATCGGTTTACCTTTCTTTTGATATATATTAACAGTTGCAAATCATTTATGGTGGTTCAGAAAAATTAAGTTTTCTTACAACTTTGCAAAATTTGACAAGTTGGACCTACACTTTGAAGGTGCTCCTGGCGTTGAAGGTGCTGAGGGCGGAAGGTACTCATGGTGCTCCTGGCGATGAAGGAGCTGAGGGTAGAAGGTACTGGTGGTGCTCCTGGCGATGAAGAAGCTGAGGGCAGAAGGTTCCAATGGTGCTTCTGGCGATGAAGATGCAAGCGTTGAAGGTGCTGATAGTGAATCCCAAATCTGTAAACAAGCAAAAATATCAAGTAAAATTTATAAACATATAAAAAGTCTCAATACATACCTTAAGAATGTGGCTAAGTCGCTGCTGTTTTGCAATCTAAAAGAAGAAATTACATTATAATTAAATAAAATTGTTAAATACGTATTCTTACCTTCAAAGTTTTCGTAGTAACATTTCTTCACAGTATATATACTGTCATCAAAACTCCGACGTTTCTAACTTGCTCGCTCTAACGCATAGAATTCTTGTTAGAGTACGAATTCTTATCGGCTATGTAGCTCTAACAAAGGGACATTTTTTGACAGTTCGAACAAAAAATTTGTAAGTGTGTGGGTGAGATGACTAAAAAGTTGTGAATGTGTTTGTAAATCGTTTGAATTTTAGGGGAAAGTGGTGAGCCGTGGCTGGCAGGGTATTTACATTTTTGTTTGTGCCTATCTGGATTACTGTATACTGTGCGCAAAACAATCACATGTGACAGAAACGAACTTTTAGAGCAGAGCGTTTTTTCTATGATTCAATCAAGGCATGGTACAATAATTACAGGTATTGTCTTCCCAGAGAGCGCATATTCCGATCTGCCTTATTTAAAAAATATCATTGTTGCCCACACTAAAAGGTTTACTACTAGGGAAAAGGGATATTTTCATACCCCATATACCACATATGTATCTAAGAAAACTTTTCAAGAATGCCCTACTTCAGAATTTGGTTGAAAAACGCCCTATCTCAGCTGCCGATTCAAAAACGCCCTATCTCAGCTTATTTTCAATGTATTTTCGTTTGAGATAGGGCGTTTTTGAACCGAATTCTGAGATAGGGCGTTATTCAACCAAATTCTGAGATAGGGTATTTTTTAATAAAATTCTAAAGTAGGGCGTTCTTAAAAAGTTTTCTGAGATAGGGCGTTTTTGAACTGGCTGCCGAGATAGGTCGCTCTTCCACTCAGCCATCGATATAATCATACATATGATGGTCAAGACGGACTAACTTTTTTTCCTTAATAATTTTACAATTTATTGGCTTTGCTTTGTGCGCGCGACATAGTAAGAAAATAAAATGTTTATCAAATCGCACATGGGCTTGCTAAGCCCTCGTTTTCCATCATTTTAGCTAAGCACTTTATTCGAAAAGTTCTCTATTTGAAAAGCAAAAGAAATTGGCTGTGCAATGGTTTTCAAATCGACCTATCCAAAAACTTGTCAGTTACTAACTTTTTTATAAGTTGATAAGTTTTTTTTTGATTTGTAAAATGTGCAACACTTATCAACTTTACTTTAAAAAAAAAGGCTTATCCAAAAGTTGTAAAGTGATAAGTGATAAGCAGTTGGTGCAATTGGGCCCAGTTTTTACTTCTCAATTCCCTAAGAAGCACTTGTTGGCAAGAGTAATTCTGCTGTAGATTTCAAGATTGACATTATTATTTTTGTTAATTCTGGCTCACAAATAAACGAAGGCGTTTACTTTTTCAAACTTCTAACTGTCAACAGTAACGTGGGTGCCAAGACCCTTATGTGATGACAGGAGACACTTCGCTTTGGTTATCTATCTGATCCCGAGAAGGAAAAACATACGTAGCCCTTGTTTGTGCCGATAATGTCGATGTCGACGGAATGCGCCAGCAATTGTACTCCCCTGTAAAATATTGTGCCTGACTGGTTCAGTTCTGTGGCTCTTATTATCTCCTCCAACATCAGATTAAAGAAATCAAACGAAAAGGCTTATCTGAGACTTCGTTTGGTGTCAAATGGATCGTAGAGGTCCTACCCAATTCTGACAGAGCTGGTGGTATTCCTCAACGTCACTTTACACAGCCTTATTAGTTTCTTGGGGATACATAATTCAGACATTGCGGCATAAATACAACTTCCATTTGTGCGGTCGAAAGCGGCTTTGAAATCGACAAATGGAGGGTGTGTGTCGATCCTATTCTCGCTGGTTTTCGAAGATTTGGCGTATTGTGAATACCCGGTAAATGGGAGACTTTGCAGTTTTTCACACAATTTAATCGATAAGACCTTGTAAGCTATGCTTTGAACCCTAGTCCCACGATAGTTAGCGCGTATGGCGCCTTTCATGTGGATGGGACAGAGCACGTTTAAATTCCAGTCGTCGGGCATGCGTTCATCTGACCATATTCTGCAAGATAGTTGATGGATACATCTTATCAGCTTCTCGCCGTCGTACTTGAATATTTCAACTGGCAGGCCGTCATCTTCAGCAGATTTGTTGCTTTTCAGCTGCATAATCGCTATTCCTACCTCGTCATAGTCAGGCGGTGGGACATTGACTCCATCGACATCCGCTGGTGGCTGGGGTTCGTCTTATCCACTACTTTCAATGCTGCATTCAGTAGGGTGGAAAAGTGTTCGCTCCATAATTTAAGTACATTCTGGACATCGGCCACTAGGTGCCCATGGTTGTTCTGTTTGCCAGCATCTCAAGCTCTTCGCACTCACTTGTAGGAGTAATCTCCAGTTAATTTAAACATTTTTTTGATCGTGATAATATTATTTAGATAGAAAACTACTGTATACCTTTTTTGCATTAATTTCATTGAATCAGTACGATCCACAACTAGTTAGAATCTGATTTTTGGGTTGTGCCTCTTTTGGAGGGTGTGCGTTATTATGTTTTTTAATATAGTATAAATATATATAGATATATTAAATTTTTCAATTCCTTTATTAAATTCTTTACTCAATTCACATTTTCTAAGCTAGACAACCAATCGCTCAATCTCTTCCACACATACAAGAAAAATTAATTAAACTCTTGCACACAAAGTAATAATAAAATAAGCACACACACAAAAAACAATACAAACAATCATCACAATATATAGTAACGGCGTTCTTATCCTTTCCAGTTGTCGCGAAATTAAGTCTGCTTCCCGCATTTAAGTCGCAATTTAAAATACATAACAGGTCACAATTCTATGCCTCGTCCAAGCCGGGTTTAGCTGGAGGCGCCATGGTTCTTCGTGGAATCAGAAGTGCCATACAAGCGCAGATATACAAAGCAATACAGGCGGCATAAAAAGTCAGTTCGCAGTTATTGGCAAGCAGCGCGCCCACTATATTAGCGCCTACAACACTTCCTAAGCGGCCAAACATCAGCGAAACGCATATAGCCATGGCACTAAAGGGACGAATAAGTGAAACTTGATTTGAGACATATATTCACTGGATTATTTAGATAATTTTCTTACCGCATTTGGGTTGGGTAAAGCTCAACAGTAGCCGCTCCTAGAACATTTATCGCTACCCCCACTAAAAAGAAAAGGACATACAGGTACGCGGCAATCGAGGGGTCGGCCACAAATACAGCAGCGAGGCCGCATGAGGAAAATAATATTGTGGAAATGACTGCAAATAAAAATAAAAACGATTGAGTTATCTCAGGGTTAAAGTATACCAGAGTATCAGGAACTTGAAATACTTACAAAGAATGGTCATTTTGCCAACACGATTGATGATCAAGCCAATGAAAGCAAAGGAGGAAGCGTACAAGATTTCCATAATTAGTGAGTAAAAGTATGTTGTATTTTCCAATTTAGCTACGCATTCCATTGTCTGCAAAGCATTTTTGAGATATTCGGAATTAGAATTTGTATTAAAATTGTTTTATTCTCCACCGTGCCTACTTACACCATCAGTCTTATATAAGCTCTCATGTTTGTCATATACAATATGGCAGATCTGTTTATGTTCGCCTGGGTGAGCATTCATGAACTCGACCATGCTGTTGATTATGTGAGGGAACCACATATACATGCCATTCGTCACCACATACAACCAGAATTGCATGTTGCAAACGATCAATGTGACGCGAATGTATTGTTTGTGAAACAGAGGCACTGTTTGATTCCACATGCTCTTCATGAAGGCGGTGGCAAAGTTTTCTTTAGAAGCCGATTTGTTATTTAACTGCATCATAGAGCCAGGCTGTTCTTCTTCGGGAAGAATGTGCTTTAGCTAAGATGTATAAACATAAAATATTTAGCCCAAATCATTTAAGGAGATAATGCTAAAGTCAGACATACCTTCATATCTTGAGTACCACCGTTCCAACGTTGCATCTTCTGCAGCACCTCAATAGCTTTTGCTTCTCTGCCATGGGCCAGCAAGAATTTTGGGCTCTCGGGCAAAGCAAACATCGACAAGCCGCAAAGTAGACCTGGTATGCCACAGACGATCAAAAATAAACGCCATGGCTTGTAAACGATGCCCAAAAATGGCAAAGGCAGCACCCAGTCTTGGTTTATAACAATAAAGGCAATCATTGGCAAAATCATGGCACCGATGGCGAAGATAAATGATGAACCCATCATAGCGCGCGAACGGGTCTTATCCGTGTGGAATTCGCCTAGGTAGGCATAAACTGTTGCCGAACCGCCAGACACGCTTAAAAAATTTAATAAAAATTATTTCACTTAATACAATAAAGGTTTTGCAAAGAGCGTGAGAACAATTATAATATCTAAAAAAACTTACAAAAATCCATTAATAAATCGCAACAAAACCATAACCCAAAATGTGTGCGAGAAACTGGAGAATAGGGTTACTATGAATCCAGCCAACAACGTCGGTCTGATCACTTTCCGGCGTCCCTTTGTATCCGCCAAAAAGCCCCACAGATGCGAACTTGTAATGATACCAGCAAAGCTTATAGCGCTCAAGATGCCCTTGTCCTGATTTGTAAGATTTAAGTCACATTGTGCAATTGGTAATATAAAACCCATAGCCGCAGTCTCCAATAGGACATTCGCTAAAATCATGCCACAGATGAAGATGAGGAAGTAATTGAACTTACCAAAACCTATGAATGGAAAAAAATTAATAGATGTCACTTTGTTGGTATTCACGTAGTTTTTACGTGGTGTAAAAATAACTTACCGGTAAGCGATAAAGCTTCTGAAAATGAAATGGCCCCATGTTTACGATTTACCTTAACTGGTTCTGTATGTATAATTGAAAGTACTGGAATAAGGTGGGAAATTTTTTTGTAAATTAATTTTTCATTCTTGCAAAAATTCTGGAAATGGACGATTACACATAGAAAAAAAAACGTACAAATATTCGATGTTACCAATTACAAATATGAGTATGCATGGATGCAGTATGGGATTTTATTTTATTGCGTTGGGGGTGAAGATTTCGAGTGAGTACGCCTATTTAGATTTTATATAAAAATACATATTTATATTGCTGCAATTTGTTTATTTTATGGTTGAAACGTATTGAGTAGTATGGCTTAAATATAAAAAACATACTTTGGTGGAGTGAATCATATTTGAGATATTTAAATGGTACAATTTTTTCTTTCAGAATTTAAAAAATAAACTAAGTGTATTAGATATTTGAGTGTATAGTAAAGAAATTACTTATGTACATAAAATTTATAATTCCATTGCATCAACGCTGTTTGTTTTACGTATTTATCAGGATAAATTTGGAAACTACTAAGTTTGTCGTATTTCGTTAGGGCTTACGATAATTAAACCAATCACTATTAATTATTTTTATTATTCATTATCATTATTAGCCATTATTATTATTATTTGTGTTATTAATTAATTAATTATGTTATTAATATTATATATTGCTCGCAAGTGAAGAATGTATGTTGTACGTTATCTTCAACGTTTCGACAGTAGTGCCAGCGTTCTAGTTTTTTTTATGTACTGTTATTATTGTTATTGTTATTATTACTATTATGGTTATTATTAGTATTATTATTTGTGTTATTATGTATTACAACATGAAAAGCTATAAATAAAATATAAGCTTTTTTACTAATAATTTCCATTATTTTTGAAGGTCCAATACCTTAGATAGATAGATAGATTTGTTAGAGGATGTGCACTGCGACCTTAGGTCTATTGTGCCCTCGGAGCTCATCACAACACCTCGTCCAGCCCCAGTGCTCTGATGAAACCGAGCAGTTTCGAGGGCTGTAGAGAGTTAATGTCTGAAGCCTCGGGCCACAGCTTCCCCAAGTGTGTTTGCCTTCTTCTCGACACCGCGTAACATTCTAAGAGGATGTGCCGCGGGGTTTCTGGGACCCTGTCGCAATAGCGGCAGGAATCGTCTGCGCTAATCCCTAAGGTATGCATATGGGCCCGCAGCCTGCAGTGACCAGTCCTGTAATAAATCTTAAATTAGTCTTGTTGAGTGTAATTAGTTCTCTGAATCTTCTGGGATTATAGCTTCCTAGAAGTTCTTTCGCCTGCCTTAGTCCAGGCGTATTCTTCCAATGTGTTCTGATCAGGTTTCGTTCCTCTACTCTTAACTCTTCACTGATAGTGTGAGGACCAACTGCAAGGAAGGGTTCTGGTCCTATGGGTCGAGTGGCTGCTGCTTCCCTAGCGAGCTTGTCAGCCTCCTCGTTGCCCTGTACGCCTGTATGGCCCGGGACCCACATCAGCTGTACTATGTTGAGTTCCCCCAGGGCGTTTAGTCTCTTTACACATTCCCATACCAACCGAGAATTAATTTCACACGACGAGCGGCTCTCAGTGCAGCCTGACTGTCGCTGCATATGACAATGTGCTCTTTTCTCGGTTGTCTCTGCAGAATTACCTCCGCACAAATGTCGATGGCAAAAACCTCCGCCTGAAAGATACTGGGATAGTTCCCCAGGGGAATGGAGATATTGGCTTGGGGGCCATGTATTCCTGCCCCTATCCCTTCGTCGGTTTTGGAGCCATCTGTGAACCAGCTTTGGGTATGGGGCCGAAAGGTGTTATCCAACATTGTCTCGTTCCAGGTTGCCTTGCTTCCTAGTTCGGTTCTAAACTTTTTCTCGAAGGTTCTTAGCCTAACCATGTCGTCTCTATTGAGCTGGGAGATAGGAATCTTGCTTTTGATTTCCTCTCCGAGTCTGCTCGAGACCACCTTGCCTTTTCCAGTGCCCTCCCTCATGAAATTTAGGAGGGCTTTTTTGGCGGTTTGTTCTATGACTATGTGCAGTGGCGACAGGTCCAGGATTACCTCCAGGGCTGCAGTGGGACAGGTGTGCATGGCACCTGTTATACAGGTGCACGCCAGTCGCTGCAGCTTGGAAAGCGACGCCCTTACCGTGTTGAGGGCAGCCCGCTCGGACCATGCCACTGCTCCATATGTAACTATTGGCCTGACAATCATTGTGTACATCCATCGTAGGATGTAGGGGCTGCACCCCCACGATTTGCCGGCAAGTCTCCTGCACACCATTAAAGCTCGTGTGGCTTTTGTTACAGCGTACTCAATGTGCTTATTCCATAGCATTTTGCTGTCGAAGATGACTCCTAGATACTTTACTTCATTACATATTTCTATCTCTATGCCTCCTAATGTTATAGGGTGCATGCCTGGAAGGTTTCTTCTCCTAGTAAAAGTAATAACGGCTGTTTTGGCGGGGTTTATGTTAAGGCCCACCGTGCCACACCATCTTTTAGTTAGGATAAGTGCTCTTTGTGCAATGTCGCAGAGGGTGCTTTCAAATTTGCCCCTCGCTATAATTACTATGTCGTCCGCATATCCTTGGCACAAAATGCCGTTGTTGGATAGTAACTCAAGTAGTTCGTCTACTAGTATACTCCAAAGCAGGGGAGACAGTACGCCCCCCTGCGGGCAGCCTTTTACCGTCATCAACTGTATGATTTTATTGTCAGCTACGGTCTCTGCCAGTTTTGTTCGCAGTATTGTACTGATCCATCTTCGGATCGGGATGTCTACGTTCCTTCTCTCTAGAGCTCGATCTACTGCCTCGTGTGAGGTGTTATCAAAGGCTCCTTCAATGTCTAAAAACGCACAGAGTGTTACCTCCCCCCCCCTCAAGTGCATTCCGTATGGTAGATGACAGCTGGAACAGCGCTGTATCCGTCGATCTACCTGCACGATAGGCGTGTTGCCCATGATGTAACGGCAATGACGTCAGGGTGGTGGACCTTATGTGATTGTCTATGATCTTCTCCATTGCCTTAAGAAGGAATGATGTTAGACTAATCAAGCGAAAAGATTTCGAAGGCGAGTAGTCTTTCTTGCCTATCTTAGGAATGAATTTGACACAGGCTCTCCTCCACGACTTTGGGAGATACGCTAGTTCCAGGCTTTCCCGCATGATTTTGATTAAAATCGGGGTAAGCAGGTCCAGTTCTTTCTGGAGTAAAATCGGCCATAAGCCGTCCACCCCAGGGGTCTTATAGGGCTCAAACGAATCGATGGCCCATCGTACGGTCGACCAGGTGAACAGGCATTTTGCCGTCTTCCAGTCCTCCGAGGCCGGCTTATGGTATTCATCACTATCCTCTGCTACCGGAGTCAATGCTCCTGGGAAGTGTGTTGTCAGGAGGGCCAGGGCCCTTTCTTCCTCACTTTTGGTGTAGCTGCCGTCTGGTAGTTTTATCGCCATATGGTTTTCACCTGTACCTCTAGCTAGTGCTCTGTGCAATCTGGCAGCCTCCGGGGTGGAGGTGATGCCTTCACAGAACAATCTAAAACTGTTTCTCTTGGCTTCGCGAATCGTTTTGTTATAGGTGGTTAGGGCTGACAAATAGTCATCCCAATTCCCAGTACGTTTCGCACGGTTAAAGAGTTTTCTGACCTCTTTCCGGTGACCTGAGAGGTTGGAGTTCCACCATGGGTTTCTATTCTGTCCTTTTGGTGAAGTCAGCCGGCAGCTTGATGTATAGGCATCCGTTATTGCCTCACTTAGGCTGCCGACCTTCGCCTCCAATTCCACCCATCGCTTAGCCCTGTTCTCTACGTTTGTGGTGGTTAGGTTTGCCTGTAATAGTCTGTGATAGCTGTTCCAGTCGGTCCTCCTAGGATTCCTACTGGGCGTGGCTCTATTCATGGAGATCTCTAGGGAAAACTGTATAATCCTATGATCCGACATTGAGGGCTCCGAGCAGACCCTCCAGTCCGAGATCAAATTATCCGCCCAGGTGTTCCCAAGAGTAACGTCCAGAACTTCCTCTCTTACCCTAGTTACAAAAGTGGGCTTATAACCTACATTGCAAATACTAAGGTCCTTACTTAATATAAAGTCTAGTAGAAGCTCACCCCTTTTATTGGTGTCAGTGCTGCCCCACTGTACATTATGTGCGTTGGCATCACATCCAATAACCAATGGAAGGCGCAGTTTCTCGCTGTACTCTACTAGTCCTCTGACTTCCTCCGGTGGTATGGCGGCATCCCCTGCGAAGTAAGCCGAAGCAAAAACTACTTCTCTTGCCTGTCCGTGGAGATTCACCGTTAGTTGAATTGCCACCAGATCTCTCGTTAAAAACTCTGAAATGCAGAAGTAATTAGTCTCCTTCTTTAACATAACACAGGCTCTAGGGTTATCACATGATAAATCCCAGATTACCTTGATAGACTTCTCCGTCAGGCCCTTCACCTGACCTTTATACATCCACGGCTCTTGGACTAAGACTATGCCCAGATCCTCCGAAGTGAACT